ATATTTAGCGATCTATACGTTTAGTGATTACTAATCACTACTTAAAATTTATAAATACTATGTCTTTTAAATGTAAAAACTAAAATGCCATGTATTTTTTTAAATAAAAATATGACAAACTACAATAAAATCACTAAGTTAACTGAAATTTTCGATTTTAACACCGTATTTTTTTTCTCTAAATTAAGTCACTATATTTACAATTTTGTTGCACTATCAACCAAATGACTGGTTCTCATTGTTCTCTCGGTAACTACTTTTCCAAATTGCAATGAAGTCACTAAGTTTACTAAAATTTTGATTTTGAAACCGTGTTTTGCTTTTCTCAGTTATGTCATATATTTACAACTTTGTTGTAATGTCAACCAATTGACCAGTTACCATCAATCTAGCATGTTAGCAAATAAATGACATGACAATATTGTGATGTGGAAGCCACGTCAGATCTTATGTGGCAGGATTGAGTTTCAAATATATGGTTTGCATCAAACCCATCACATATCTTTTTTTCTTCTTCTCGTCAAAGTATTTATTCACAAATGAAGCCTGAAGGTCGGTCTAATGGTTCAAACTCACTTACAAGTCAGCAAAAAGGGCATAGTCACCATTTTAGGAGATGTTATTGTGGTTTAGAAGTTTGATTTGTACAACAAGTAAATGAAGACCCCTACAAGGTCGATCAAGTGGTTCATACTCACTAAGCATCTCCTAGATCGACCTTGTAGGAGACTTCATTTACTTGTTGTAAAAATCAAGGCTCTAAACCACACTAGCATCTCCTGGAAGGGTGAGAACGACCGTTTCGTTGACATTTAAGTGAGCTTGAACCACTGGATCGACCTTCATATACCATTTTGTGAAGAAATACTCTGATGAGAAGAGGAAAAGAAAAGAAGATATGTTAAATTGGGTTCGATCCACACCTTATATTTGAAACTCAATCATGCCACATAAGATCTGACATGGCTTCCACATCACAATAGTGTCATGTCATTTATTTGGTAACCTGCTAGATCAATAGTAACTGATCAATTGGTTGACATTGCAACAAAATTGTAAATGTAATGACATAATTGAGAAAACAAAACACGGTGTCAAAATCGAAATTTTGATAAACTTAGTGACTTTATTGCAATTTTGTAACACCAGTTCTAGGTATACATGCATTTCTTTTGTGATCTTAGCATTTAATACATCAATTATGGGATTTTAGGTGTCCACGACGTGGTGGCAAAGACACCACGACGTGGACTCACCCGATGAGAACGTGCATCCTTTTTGGACACCACGACGTAGCAAGGTCTTGGCCACAATGTGGTGGCGGCCAACATGAAAACCCTAGTTTTTCCAGGTTTTAAGCTCTATTTAAGGGATGTGATGGATAAGTTTGCTCACCCTCAACCTCCATCACATCCTTTCAACCTAAAGCAAAACCTTAGCCTCTATTGTTGGCATTTTGAGCTTTTATGGTGCCTTGAAGAAGAAGAATGTGCTCTTGGTGCATAGATCTAGCAAGCAAACCTCCTCATCACCTTCTTGCATACATTTTGGACTATTGTAAGTCCATATATCTCTATTTGTATGTGCAATCCTATTAGATTTAGGTTTAGAATTTTGTTCTTCATATTCTTGATGTTTTGGATGGATGGATTCCATAAAGTTGGCAACTTTATGGGTCCTTGAGGACCCTTTGTGGTTATATGTTCCAGATCTAGTGTTTTATGGAGTCCTTGATCTCATGTATGAGTTTTGAGTTTATCTCTTTCAGTTTTTACCTAGCTTGGAAAAGACATTCATTGGACATGCATGTCCATAAAGCAAAGATTTGTATAATGTATTTTGGGTGTAAGAAAGCCCCCTACAAAGTATGGATGAGTGGCTTAAGGGGTTAAGATCTTAATCTATTTAGTTGGCTAGAACAAGTGCCACGATGTGGTGATTTGATCACCACGACGTGGTGATAGGCAGTCTTGCGACTGTTTTTTCGTGAGGCTACCCTGACGTGGCCTATGCTTGGCCATAATGTGGTGTCTGATGGGGTTGACTTTGATCGTTGACTTTGACCATTGAATTTTTGACCAATTTGACTTTTGGTGAACCTGAGGGTTTTTTAGGCTATAGATTGAGGATGTGTCTCTAATTATTATATAGGTGGCTCGTAGCACCAATATTTGTTTTGTGTGAGCTGTGTTGATTGCCTACTGGCCTGAACGGTGAGTTTTCTCACTACACTTTGTACTGTAGTATGTATCCTTGTGTGTAGGATGTTGTTATGTTGTAATGATTTGTTAGTCTAATAGTTTTGTTATGATTACCTGTGTATGCTGGTTATTTTGTGTGTTTGCATATATCGACATATTGTGGAGTGGATTGAGGCGGTCATGCTCTGTGTTGTAGGCCAAGATACCCAGGCCGTCCAATTGATATTGTAGGCCCAAAAGAGAGTGGTCCATCCCCGTGTTGTAGGCTCAAGAGAGCGGTCCAACTATATCTTGTAGCTTAAGAGAGCGTTCCAGGTGTATTGTAGGCCTTGCGAGGTAGTCTAGTCAGACTGAAGGCTCATGTGTGCATGCATTGTATGTGTATTGTTGTGTGAGATATTTTGGGGAACCCGCTAATCTTTAGCTTACAGTTGTGGATTTAAATGTTTCAGGTACTTCAGAGGATCGGAGGAAGGCAAAGGCCTGACTGTACACCCCATCTAGTGGTTGATATGTTTTTTTAGAGATAATATGTTTGATACTCTGATTTATAATATGGATGTGAAACAGTATTTTGATGGCTTATGTTTTATGGAAGAAGTGGTTTATTTTCTTTTATAAGTGAAAAATTTTTTAATATGGTTTTTGGGATGTTACAAATTTGGAAGAGTAGTTACCGGGAGAATATAAAGAACTGATCATTTGATTGATATTGCAACAAAATTAAAAATATAGTGACTTAATTGAGAGAAAAAAAATACGGTGTCAAAATTGAAATTTCCGGTTAACTTATAGACCTTATTGCAATTTTGAAATCACCCAATACCGTCCTTAAGTTTGCATTTCATTATGGATACGGTCGAGGCCAACCCAAACATATTGTAGGCTCTGTTAAAAAGAAGTTGGGATTGATTTATATATAAAAATAAAAAAAACTATATCAACTAGAATGAAATATTTTGTTTATAAATTGAATCAAATTCATATATGTACATTATATGAAATTATTTAAAAAACAAAAACTTTGAAATATGTGCAAATGGCTAATCGGTTAAAAGGCAAACAATTACCTATTTGTTTTTTTAAAAGTACAAAGAGGAATTCGAACCTTAGAGGTTTAGACAATACAACAAGCTCTTTAACTATTTATACTAAATCAGTTTTTACAATTGTGTGGAACAATTTCAAATATATATATATATATATATATATATATATATATATATATATATATATATATATAATCATTTTCAAGGTAAATATGCCAGGTATCACGCCCTTAGCTTTTACACGGTTGTGTGTCATCACACCCCTTTGGCCCAACATGGATATGGTCACTGTGTCTTACATGAAATTGTAAGCTTAGTCCAAATTTGAGATCGTTTGATATAAGATAGGTACCATATCCATATCAAATGCAAAAAAAAAAAAGACAACATTGAGATGATATGAAAGATATACAAAACTTAGAGTAAATTAAAGATTTGGTCCAAGTGGTATACACTTTTTGAAGGTTTGGTCCTAGTAGTTTGGAAATTTGATTATCCTCATGGTTGACAAATGTAACATCCATAAAATTCAAGTCAATTTAAAACTTTTCTAAAACATTTAAAACCATTAAATTATTACAATTTGTTTTCAAAATAGTTTAAACATCAGAGTATCCCCAGAACCAAATCATGAAAATATAAGGAGGTGCACGATCACGCATTTGCCTCCCCGCGATCATCAGAAATACCTGAAACATAATCAACAACTGTAAGTCCGAAGCTTAGTGAGTTCCCCCAAAATACCAACGTCATACAATCATAATCGTAACATATAAACAACAACATGCATAATGAGTCATCAGCCTGACTGGACCGCCTCACAGCCATCAGTCTATCTGGACCGCTCTCCAAGCCATGGACACGTCTGGATCGCCTCGCGGGCCTTCAGCCTATCCGGACCGCTCGTCGGGCCTTCGGTCTGACTAGTATGTCCTCTCGGGTCTGTAGTCTATCCGGTCCGCCCCGAGTATGTTGGCCTAAGCACAAAGCATGTCCGCCTCAACCCAACCCCCAATCAAACAAACATGTGCACATAAATATCATACGCTAGCTAGCATGTACATATAGTTATACAGATTTAACAGATCACTAACATGACAACCATCTTATAACCATGATACATATCTAACCGATCAATAACATAGCAACCATCCTATAACCAGGATACCGATCTAGCAGATCACTAACATAGCATACCATCTTATAACCAGGATACAAATCAATAAGCATATCATGCAATATACCTGGATACAAATCCGAAAAGGGCCGGCATTGGTGCCTTAGACCCTGTTGATATAGTGAGAAGAACTCACCTCACAAGTAGCTCGGAATGATAATGTCAAACTTCTCCCAATACAACTCCAACTCCAACACCTACATCCACCAATGATCCCCTTCCATAAATTCCCAAATTACTAAAATACCCCCAGAAGTCAAACTGGTCAACCCTTGGTCAAAGTCAAAGTCAACGGTCAAGGTCAACAGTCCATGTTGACCCAACTCGTCGAATATAGCTAGCAACTCGTCGAGTTCTTTAAGAACTCAGGAAATCATAAAACCCTAATTGACTCGCCGAGTTTCCAGACAACTCGCCGAGTCCATGCGGGATCCAAATGTCGAGAAAAACCCTAACTAACTCGTCGAGTCTTCTTACTGACTTGCCGAGTTCATGCTGGACCAAAACAGGCAATCTTCATCCGACTCGTCGAGTCGGCCAATCAACTCGTCGAGTCAGTAAGGACCAAAATTGATGGATTTGACAACCATTAGATTATCGGTATAAACATGAAGAATCAACCTTATATTTTGCTAAGTTAGGGCTTAGGGTCCCCAATTCTAAAAGGCCCCACATTCTCCAAACATTAACCAATATTAATATATCTCAAATCTCAATTAGTCCATTACTAATTGTCCAACATGCCACATCACAGTGAACGATCTTGATTCTTGAAGACAAACGCATGTGGCACATCAGTTAGATCTTGAAAATTGAAACACAACATTTTATCTTTTGTTCTTCTATCACGATTATCAATTGTTCAAATCCTCGACGCCAAACGGTATGTGTTTTACTTATTTTCTAGTTTTCCATTATTTATTAGGGTTAATTATTTTCAATTATGCTTTGATTACAGAATATACATTTTCAATTGTCAAGTCTTGAATACTTATGTGTGGATTTTGCCTTTGGGACTTCCAAATTTAGGTTGGAACAAACTCAAGGAAGCAGTCAACGAGTCAAGGCTGTCAGGTAACAAGTATTTCCATTAATCCATTACTTCCAATATTGTGTTTGTTCATTTGTAGTTGTCTTGGTAATTCACAAAATACATATACATAATAAATAAATAAAAATTAACTCTGCCATTTACAAGTTTTTTAGTTTATTATTGCTGATCTCAAACCTCAATAAAAAAGAAGAGTTTATAAAGTTAAGTATAGTAAATGCCAAAAGGACTCATATTTTTGGTACGTTTAGAACCTCCAAACTGGTTAGTTACCCCTGGGTATAAAACTACGACCGTAGATTCATGTCAAAACCGAGAGGGACCAAAACTATAATTTACTGTTTTTGGTAAAACATAAGGACCATATTTGTAATCCGGTCTAAAAATATTTTTAAAAGAAAATCTTATTTTATTGTTGTCATTTATGGGGTAAACTCAAGGTCACCCCTCATAAAAGTTCCAGCCGTTGAAGACAAAACAAATCCCTAACGTCTCGAAAATGCGTTAATGTAGGAACCTTTCAAAAATGAAAAAAAAATCATATCTTTATTTCTATCCATCCATATAAATTCTTTCACCATTTGCTACAAAACAACGCGGTTTTCAGCAAATTGGACATCAGTGTTAATTTGAGAGAGACAGAAAGATTCAGAAAGAAACAAACCCCGCAAATTCTTCATACGCTTCTCAATCTCTGCCATCCTCTCACATTTTCCTTCTTCATTCTCAGGTAATCAATCAATCAATCATTCCTATCTTCTGTGTATTCCCAATTCCATTTCTTGTTATTATTCGATGCAACCCTTGAATCCAGCTTCTAGGGTTTTTTAAACAACGATCGTGGTCAAAATCAGCATTTATTCCCATGGGTTTTGGGGTTTTATGTTCTGATTTTAGGGGAATTGCAATTTGCATTATGATTTTGATTGTATGTAAAAGGTTTTATTGCCAACACGATGAACAATAACGTATATGAAAATAGTTTTTGTTGTGTTATATAATGAGTTGAATCGATGATTGGTTCAGCCTGTGGGCGGAGAAAAGATAACATAAAAAAGGAGCGAGGAGATGGCAGGCCCCTCATCATGCACCGACGCCGGAGATGGTGGTCGTGCAGTGGATGAAAATGGGGCCGTTGATGATGAAGAAGCGCCTCTTTTAACAACAGCAGAGTGTCGTATTTGCCAAGAAGAAGATTCAGTTGATACCTTAGAGACACCATGTGCTTGCAATGGCAGTCTTAAGGTAATCCATCCTTAATCAATCAATCAATCAAAATCCATTTCTCTTCATCTATTTTTTTTTCTTCATATCGATTATGTTTGATGTTTAATTGTTTATGCAGTATGCTCACAGGAAATGCGTTCAACATTGGTGCAATGAAAAGGGTGACATCACATGTGAAATATGCAATCAAGTAAGTAGTCAAGATTAACAAGAAAAAAATCAGATTGCTTTTTAGGGTTTATGATGATGCTGCTGCTGATGATGTTGATGATGATGATGATTTGATATACAATTACAGGCTTACCAACCCGGGTATACAGCTCCGCCTCCCTGCCCTCGTTTGGAAGAGACTACTATAGATATCGGGTAGAATTTAATTAAAGTATTATTTATATAAAATTAATTTATATATAAAAAAAGATTGAGTTTAATCTTTAATGGTTTATTTAATTAATAATGAATAGAGGAGGATGGCAAATATCAGGGACACCTATGGACTTAAATGACCCACGTCTCCTTGCAATTGCTGAAGCTGAACGCCAATATCTTGAAGCTGAATATGAAGATTATAATGCATCAAATGCCAGTGGAGCTGCATTTTGTCGTTCAGCTGTTCTAATTGTAATTTTTTCTAATTTTATTTTCTTATTTAAAAATAAAAAACGAAATCAAAATTCAAAATCATTTTTTTTATTTTAATTTTTTGAAGTTGATGGCTCTTCTGCTACTAAGGCATGCATTCACAGTGCCGGAATCTGAAGGGGATGGAGATGAAGATGCAGCTACTTTCTTGACTGTAAGTAAACTAGTCATATTAATTAATTTTACTAAAAATAAAAATAAAATCATTTTTTTATTTTTAATTTGAAAAAATATGTGATTAATTGATTGGTTTATGGCAGCTTTTCACGCTTCGGGTTGCTGGATTTCTTCTGCCGTGCTACATCATGGCCTGGGCCATTAGCATCTTGCATCGTAGAAGGCAAAGACAGGTTAAATTAATAGTAACAATTAATTTCAGAATAGTTTGTGGCAAAATGGATAAAAAGAATAGTTGAGGGGCTAAAGTTGTTAAAATGCAGGAGGCTGCAGCATTGTCGGCATCACAGTTTGCTTTTGTATGGCAAGCAGGACAAAGGCGGGGCCTACACTTTGCAATTGCCTCAGCGCCACCACCAGCAGCCGCTGCCACTCCCGCTGTGGCTCCACAGGAGGACATTGTTTGATCATTAATTTAATTACTACCAAAAAGCCAATCGGGGGGAAGTAATATACTACTCCAAATAACACATTGTTGTAACAGTTTGTTTTACTACTCTTTTCTTTTTTTTTTTTTTTTTTTTTGTCTTCTTTCTTGAGTCGTTTCTGTATTTCAAAGGCTATTGTTTCTGTATGTGTATAGAATTGTTTTGTCATCAACTTTTTAGACATCTAAATCTTTCACATCCTGAATGTGTCTTATAAATGACTGTTTTCTTATTATTTTTTCCCTTTGGGAATTGGTTGCTCAAAATAGTCATTTCATAGTGTTTTAATAGTTAGGTCATGTTTGTTTAACTCTTATTTCCTCTTTGCAAAACGTTTGTTTACCTCTTATTTTCACATCTTAAAATGAAAATTACATCTGACCGAATAAGTGTTGGGAGCAAGATAGGTATTTTTTTAGCAAGAACGAACCCAAGTATGGTATCAAATAGAGCAAGTGAGGATAGAACTCATAGAAGTGGTTCTTTCACAAGGACTGATTAGGTTTCAACATGCCATATTCATGGCAAAAGAGAACCTCATTGAAATCCATTAAAGAAGCAAAAAAGGAATACTTTTATGAATAAAATACGCATTAAACTAATTCGTTTCCTTGTGATTTGGCCGGTTTGTTTCAACACTGGTTATGGATTCAGGTGAGAAATTGGGTTTTATTTCACATTCATGAACAGAAGAAGTGTAGGAGGTGTAGATGAGAAGCCAACTACAAGAAGAATCATGTACTAGTTTGAGAGCAACAATGGAACGCATTTGTTAGATTTGATGTTGTTTTGCTTAATATTTGTGCTGTTTTTATGAGTTTTGATGCTATTTTGGTGAAATTGATGGTGTTGAAAAAATAGTTAAAAGGTAAAATAGTCATTTTTTTATCATTATAGCATTGTACTTCCTATTTCTATCCAATTAGAATGCTAGAATTTGTTAAAGTTTTTAAAATATGACGTCATTAATAAGGAAAGGTTGGAAGTATAATGTTGTAATTGAAAGAAATGACAGAGAATGGTAAAATGTTCATTTTTATTATGCACACAAAAAATTCAAAGGTTCCAACCAAACATGTTAAAATTCATATTTTAAAAATCCAAACCCTACCAAATAGCCCCCTTAGACTACTAAGCCAACCAGAATGCCACTTGCCACTTGGTAATACTAAATGTTTTAAAATCTTGTTTTTTTAGTTGACCGGTGATACAGACCCATCCGATACTAGGTCCAACTCACTCCCAAAAGCTAGCTTGTAGGATGAGGGGACACCTAGACTTATAAACCACCAACTTATAGTACTTTCAGCCGATGTGAGATCATAACAATACCCCGCGCTTTGAAGAGCCAATGTCCTCGTTGGTTACGGTTGACACCCCCTTTCGTTCCATGCCACCACTCTAAGTCACTATTGGTCACGGTTGACACTCATCTTTTCGGGTCTAAGCCACCACTTCGTAGGCTACCGCTCCAAGTGTTGGCACCTTGAAAGATAGGGACAACTCTGATACCAATTCATACGGACCCATCCCATACTAGGCCCGTATCATGCCATAAGCCCAAGTGTATAATTCACACCCAAAAGCTAGCTTGTAGGAGGAGGAGCCACCTAGACTTATAAGCCAACAACTTATAATACTTTCAGCCGATGTGGAATTTTCAAGAAAAAGCTAGAATTTGTTAAATCTTGTGAAGCCATGGAATTTTCGATAGAAAACTGGAACTTTCGAACCTCTGTCAAGATTCAAGCGGATGTAGATCGTAGGGACGAACCCATTCAATCTTGTGAAGTCATTCAATTTTCGAAGGATTGAAAGGAGGAGCTTGTGAGAATGTAGAACCTAGGATTCAATTTAAAAAAAGTAATTTCTTTATTTTAGATTTTAGGTTAACTGAGGTTTTTAACTGATCACGGGTCACCCGTTCAACAATTTTATTATTATTATTATTATTATTATTTTTTGATAAACATGGTTAGGTCAATCCAAGTCACAAATACGCAAACATTTGTTCCTAGTTGACTTGGTATCTTCGTCGCTTCCACTAGCAAAATCGGACTAAGTTTTAAAACATTAAAAATACTTATATAAAAGTAAACCAAGGTGTAATCATAAAATCCCCCTTTGATGTTCATTGATCAAGATTAATTCACATGCATCCGGTTTCAACATGTAAAATCTTCTAGAAATATTTATTTGCCAAGTCACTTTGAAAACATGTTTATAAAATGCATTAAAATTTTATAAAACCGTTTTAAGCATCATCCACTTTAATCGGTTGAGAATAAAAATTGATGAAAATACCAACGGATGTTATAAATTAAGAACCAACTCCAACAAACGCTCATATAATTTATCATCACTCACTCAAAATGTTCTACATTCTTTATGAGATATATCAAATGGCAATCTTTAACACAATTCTAATTTGATCAAATGAAGCATCATTTGTCTTGATCACATGATATATAAAGTATAAACTAATCATATAAGAGAAAAACAAAATATCTGCAAGATACAATTTTTCAAGAAGTCTTCTTATCAAGTCATATCTTAGTATAATCACCATTGTTCATTTGTTCACAAGATACACATTTTTAACAACTATACTAATAAACGAATATCCAAGATATTTATAAAATACAACATTTTATACAGATTTAATCAAATTATCTCAACATGTATATAGTCAATTTGGAAAGAAAATAATGAATTATGATTAATTTTATAGAAAAGGTTAATATTTAGCATAATTCAGAATTTGAGATATTATAATGAAAAGGAGGTTGGCCCAAATTGTTATGGGTTTCAGGCCCATTTATTTTAAAAAGCCTAAAGCCTAGGGCATCCTTCACAATTCATATACATCTTATCGTTCCCACACATCGCTTCTCCTCCAGCCTCCCCTCGAAAAGCAGAGAAGAGTAGAGCGCCGCCGGCCGGAAAATGGTTCAACGACTCACATACCGTAAACGGCACAGCTATGCCACCAAGTCGAATCAACATCGGGTTGTTAAAACCCCTGGTAATTTTCGTTATTCATCTCAATCTATTACCATTTTAGTTATTTCATCAATCGGGGTTTATGACTTGCGATGTTTGTAAATTGTTTGATTTGTTTGGGAATTTCTTCAAGCGATGTTACATTTGCGCGTTGTTTGTTCGTATGCGATTGAAATTTTATATGATTGTTTGGTGTTTTTGATAGGTGGTAAGCTAGTATATCAGACTACCAAGAAGAGGGCAAGTGGACCTAAGTGCCCTGTTACTGGGAAGAGAATCCAAGGGGTAAGCAAGTTTGCTCTTGTTTAATGTGGCTTAATAGGAGTTCTATCAGTTTTTTAGCTTAAACTTTTTGTAGCGTTTGTTCCATATTATGTCAAGGGTCATTAGATTTTCATAATTATCAAACTATTCTGTTTCCTACTCATTACATTCTGGTTATATTCTATCACTGTAATTTCTCCAAAATGCATACTTCTTCTAAGTTTAGATAAATCAGGGGGCTTAGCCATTTGATACATGTAGCTGTACTTAAGTACATTGATCTTAGTTGAAGAATATAGGCCTTAGATTATGAACAACTTGTGGTATAAATATGAGTGGTATAAATAGATATGAGAAGATGAAGAAATGATAATATAACGTATCCTTAAATTAAATACTATGGACAGATGGAAGATTTTATTTTGCTAGTTGATTTATTAGTCAGACATGAATCTTTACAAATTATGACTCAATAAAAACAATAGATGATGGCTTACTCTTAGAGTGTGTTAGAAATTGAAGTTTAGTTGTTGGATATTTTCATTTAAATCTGCACTTGTTTTACTTGGTTAATGCAATTCATGCAAAATATGCATTAAAAACTGATCAATCATTTTTGTAAAGTTTTGAAATCTATAATTTGATTTAGTGATTAAAGATATGTGATATTAATGCAGATTCCTCACTTGAGACCTACTGAGTACAAGAGATCAAGATTATCCAGGAACAGAAGAACTGTTAATCGTGCTTATGGTGGTGTGCTTTCTGCAGGTGCTGTAAGAGAAAGGTATGTCTTTTTTTTATTTTTTTATAAAAAAAATTAATTATTCAATGTTAAATGTTGGATAGTTGTTTTGTAGCTGTGCTCAAGTGTGTTATTGTTTTTGTGATTTTAGGATAATTAGGGCTTTTTTGGTTGAAGAACAAAAGATTGTGAAGAAGGTGTTGAAGATCCAAAAGGCAAAAGAAAAGACTGCTGGCAAGAGCTAGAGAGAGTAATTTAATTTTGTGTGAATCTGTAATCGGATCTATGCTTGCTTTGATTACTTTTTTAGTTTTTTCTTCTTCCTGTTTTAATTGTTTTTTGAACTCCATTCTGGTTTGGATATTCTGTTTTTGTTGTTTTTACTTTGAAATTACCTTATAAATTCCATGTTTCAGATATTACTTGCATCCATCATTAGTGCTTTCAAAGTAACAAAACCGTAATAGTCATGCTTTTCACCATTATGCTTGAAAAGCCAAAGAATCTATAATAAAATTCTATGATTCCTGTTAGTGATTGAATGAAACTAGTATTGATCATTAGTGTAATCCGAAAAGTCAAACATTAGCCATTATTAGTGATTGAATGAAACTAGTTTTGATCATTTTAGAAGATGAATTGATATGGATATTTGACTTGCTCTACCAATATATTTTTATGCCTCTATGATAGCATTGAGTTATTCAAGTGTGTGGTTAATAGTAGGGGTAAAATGGCCATTTTATTGCGGTTTTAATGGCAAGAATTAATGGATTTGGTAAGAGGGACAATCTCTGCAACAAAGTTCATATTTAGTGACCATGGTTAGGGAAAAATACTGTTGGACTGGATTTTCAATTTTGAACAACCAAAGAGCATTTCACACTACATGAAATTTGAAAGATTATGATGTCACTGAGTTATGTGTAATTAAGTATGTCACGAAATAAGATCTTGAATTATATAATCTTATAGGATTTGACTTCTAACACGATAATCATTTGAACTAGAGTAAACGTATTGATCTTCAAAACGTGAAAACCAAAAATTAAGAGAACTCAAAGAAGAAAAGTGGATAAAGTATCACTTCTACTTAATGTCAAACCTATGAAAGAATCAACAAACATTTAGTCATATATAAAGTTGTTAGGGTTAGTAAAATCCCATTGATCTTCAAAGTACACAACATCATCAGAACTTTTAAACATCATGTCAACTATATGTTCTTGATTATGATCACCATATTGATTCTTTTCTTGTATTTCTGTAGGTAGGTCAGTAAACAAGAAACAATCATCACTAAAACCTTGTTTGTTTCCATTCGTCTCGTAATCTAAATCTTGTTTATTAAAAGCTCCAAAAATAGACGGAGGCATGTTGAAAAGCAAAGAAGATGCATTAGTGGTGGTATTATAGTTAGGTTCAAGGATTGAAAAGGGATTTTTGGTGTCTTGATCACTTGGTATGAAAGTTGGAGGGGCATTGTTTTTGTTGGCAGTAAGTGTAGGGGGTATTGGGTCAATCTTAAAAGGTTTGTGGTCCAATTGTTGGAAGTGGGAAAACAAGGAAGGGTCTTCTGGTAATACTGGAGATGCCCATGAATGAGAGAAAGGTCTTTGTCCATTTGAACTTGCTTTCTTGAATATTCTACAAATTGCCCATAATTCCTGCAAATTAATACAAAGTTACAAACAATAAGTCGGAAGTCTTTGACTTTTGTTTTACTTTTTCTTTCAAAAAGGAAAATTATAATTTTTTTAAATAACTTGTAAATACCAATCACTTTCAAACATTTCTTTTTGATATACTTTCATTTTCAGTACAAAACAAACCATTTTCTTGAGATTTAAGATCGTAAATTCTAATATCACCCATTTTCAATTAAATGGCATATTTTAAACCATTGTTTTATATCTAGTTCTCATTTGCTATATTTCTTTAAATATTTGATAAATTTCAATAAAAAAAATGAAACATGTTCTTGAAATTCCGGAATTTTTATTGGATTTTGGACTTATTATTAAAGTTTAATAATATTTTTTTAAATCTGAAATAAGGAATATACTTTTTTATCAGAAAAAAATAGTCGGAGAAAAAGATCTTTTTCCAAAACTGATGATTTCAACTAAATGCTCATGTTTGTGAATATCCCTTCAATTTAATGGGTTGATATTGTCAATTTTAAAAAGAAGACATACATTGGGAGGAATGGGTTTTTCAAGAAACCGGTTGGTCGGAGTGGTGTGATCGGCGGCAGAAGGCAGCCGGAACTCGTGCATCATCCAATCGGTTTTGAATCCTTTAGCAGCTCTTCCTTTGTAAAACACAAGGGATTTCTTTAACCCGGCACACCTTGAACCATCGGAGGAGTAGATCGGCCGGTCAGTTCCGGTGGCTTTCCAGAATCCGCCGCCCGTCACACGGTTTGGCCGTGCACTGTTTCTGTATTTCCGGTCTCTCCGGCAATAGAAGTACCATTCTTTCTCTCCGGTCATTGCCAACTCTAGTTAAAACATTCCAACTTAATCGTTAAAAACAATGGTTAATTTCATGGATTAAAACGAAGCTAAAATAAGAATATGGATGAAAGCTCACTTGGAAGATCCCATGGATCATGTTTATAGATATCTAATGGTTTGATGAGTTGAAGGGGGATTGGCTTTTCTTGAATCTTCCTCTTTAAGTAAAACCCTACAAGTTCCTCGTCGGTTGGATGAAACCTAAACCCCGGCAACATCATCTCTTCCGTCTTCTGATCATCATCACGTTTCTCCTCCATTATCATTCCTATATATTCAATCTCTACTTAAACACTCTCTTTCTTCTAAAGAAAACTAAGAACACAATAAACAAGAGTAAGTTTTTTTGTTTTGAAAACCCTAAAAGAAGAAAATGATGATGAAGAAGACGACGACCAAATCCAAGAAAAGAGCGAATCTTGTTTTTCTTGATTTTCTTTTAACCCTAAAACAAAAAACAACGATGAAAAACAAGACCAGTTTAATGAAAAATAAACCTGCTAGTTCTTTTTGCTTTTTTTAAAGAAGAGCAGAAGTGATGATCACTAAATTTGAGGTTCCAGTAAATGCTTCTTGAATAGGATTTTTCCACCGAAGTATGAGCCGTTTTTTCAGGTTGTTAATAATATTAACGCTATTTAAAGATGCACATATCAAGAAAATAAGAGACTATTGGTCAAGAAAACAACTCTATTTATTTATTTATTTTGGAAGATTTAGACACGACTCGTATTTCTCTCCTGTCAATGCAACCTATTTTGGGGTTGTACTTCGAATTAGAAATACAAAAGAAGGAATCTCAAATGCTCACATGCAAATTAATATATATGTTTAATTGTAGTGTATATAAGTTATGTTTATTTTCTATAAAATGAATAAAAATAGACTAGATCACCTTTTTATCCTTACATCTTATGTAATATTTATAACAAAAAAGTTGGATTATAAAAATTATTTGCAATTGTTTTAAGTGTACGAGCAACCTTTTAATTATAATTTTTTAATCATGATAAAGACAAAGAAAAGTTCATACATCTATGCGTGAACGGTTAGGTGGAAGTATGGGTTTTAAATACTTTCATGATTGTCAATTCTCAAACATATAATATTACAACTAACTGATTTTATATTACTACTAAGTTCGTGTTTATATTATTATATATTTAAAAATATAAACTGCATGCTTGGTAAATTACGTACAAATAATACAAAACACTTAATAAGTATAAAGAATTGACTAAATCTCGCAATTAGAATCATATAAAAACTTATTATATTTTTTAAGTAATTATTGTAGTACGACAATTATTATCATTCTTACACGTTTATAATGTAATGTAAATTTAAAAAACAGGATCGGTAATAGTCGAATTAAAACCCAAATAACTGAACTTATAATGTAATATTTGATTTACGAAACAGTTGAGTTAAAACCCAAAATATATCAACTATGCATAGAAAAGTCAAATTTTGAAGATGATTAATGAATTAATGATTTAATTTATTTATACATGATATAATATTCGAATTAAACATATATTGTTTCTATTCCATTCCTTCAAAGTTTCTATTCCATTGACTTGTCAGAGTTTGAATACTTTGATGGTCGAATAGGCTTTTTAAGATTCCCTTATGTGTATTTTTATTGTAAGACTAGTTACAACCCGTGGGAACCACGGGTAAAAGATTTATAAAATATTTATGTTATTAATAAGATTTAAGTTTTTTAATAATTTTTGTATTGATTATTTAAAATTAACATATATATTTATTTGAACATCCGATATACATTATGTATGTGAGTGAAATTTAATATAATTTCAATTTTTAAACCAAAATATAAATTTGAATAGAAGGAAACAAAAATATTTTACATATGAAAATTAAAAAATTATATAATGATATAAATACGTAAAAAGATTTTATTAAAACACAATTCTTTTCCTTAGATGTTACATAAAAATATATTAATAATTATTTTGCACCACAAAAACATACTTTTAAATCTTCCACATCTACCCTCTCATTCTCTACCAAAAGGCCAAAAATACTTCCATAAAAAGTTTCTTTTTAACAACTCACACCCCTAAATCAATAAATTTATTAATTTATACAAGTTGAATTAATCAGCAAAGCCATAGTTAAATAGTTTCATCTTCTTTTTCCTCCTGACATAGTTAATCAATTAAAGTGAAAATATGAAATTTCTATGATTATAAGAATTCGTGTATGTATTTATCAATTTCTTTTACTGAAATCTAAAATTGAAGGACATTAAGGGAAAAAGTGTATATCAACACCAAGTTTAGCAGCAAATGTCATCAAATGCCTCATTTTCCAAGACTTGACTAATGTACACCTACCTATATAAATGATTCCATTCTACTCGGCCTCTTCTTAATATCTTTTTTGTAGCGTTCTTAGCTGATAAAACAAACAACTTCAATTTCAAGATCCAAAAGGTAAAAGTAGTTACAATCGTTAGGTAAGGCAACATGGTAAAGTAAAAACAACTACATTGTTATAAACAACAAGTTACACAAAAGCAAACACACACCATATACTATTTTTTTCAGTACATAAATAAAAGTTTCAGAAAGTAGAACGCCATATAAGGATATGATATTTATTTATTGTCGAGTCCATGTTCGAAATCGTCAAAAAAACCATTTTCAAATGTAGAATGCTATAAATGACAGTTTTCAGAAAGTATAATGTTATAAAAGATTTTTTTTATTTACCATGATCTGCATATGAGTTCTAATAAACGGCAAAAAATAAAAAACAATTAAACAACTTCTTTAGGTTGAGTCATTGAATGAACATGCACATCAACTCCAACAGTTATCACCAATATGACCAGGTGCTTTAACACTTTGGTTGTTTTAATCCAAATGAACAAAGAGAAAGAAAGACCAAGCCTCAATGCAGCTCCTTACAAGATACAACTACAAAAATTGTTTAATACTTGAAGAATACATCAGACAATGTACCAATTTTTAAAAAATTAAAACAAACATGGAAAGTACCCCTTTGTGCAAAGTAAATGGAGAACCCCAGATACTTCCATCTTTTGTGATTTACATCTTGTAACATGGTCGTACCCAACTAATGAAAGTGTCATACCATATAAATTGCATCATCTCATAGAGTATTATTTTTAGTTCAAAAAGCAAAATGTAAAAGTGGAAATGTGTTTATTCCCAGTTATGCTATTCACCTAAACTTTAATCAATCGATCTACCAGGAAGAAGCTCTAAAACATATTTAAAAAAAATAAGAAACAGAGTACATGATGAAACATCAGAACCTAAAAACCCAAAAAGATCTAGAAACCTCAAACACAAAATCTAGATTAATCGCAAAAAACTGATAAACAAAAAAATACCCTATAAAAATTAAAACCTTAGCCTAATGTTATTTCCAACAGGTCACAAGAATGTAAAACATTATAGTAATTCGAGTCCCTTCCGATTTGAAATAGCTTCATCCCTTAATAGTACATTACAAATTAATGTAAAACAAAAGAAACAAATAAATCAAGAATGGGTAAATCACATCTCAATCACGAATATGCTCGAACCCTTGTTTCGTCTTTTGTGGGTCTGTACACCCATCTTTTAAAAATCCAAAATAGACTTGACTACTAACTTTTTGGGTTAGCCTTCCCCGTCCCTTGTTTCTGGAATTTGGAGCAGATACCGGAGATGTGAGATGTTGACCTGAATATAGCCAATATAACAATTATATGATTCAAAAACAAAATAGAAACATAGTATTTGTCTATGTACTACATTTTAGATACCGGGTATATATAATCAAGTACAAATTTGTATGTATTTATTAGAGGCTAAAAAGCCAAAATCAACTATCACATTCATCTTGAACAGTGTAACATATTAATTTCAAAGCAACTCCATCTGAAAGCCTACACAAATACGGATCTATAAACTTAACATTATCTTCGATTGTCATGCATTTACCAAATTCAAGCAAATACAAAAAAAATGCAACACATGTGTTTGTTTTCATATTAAAAAAATGGGATAGAAAAGAACCTGAAAACACCTACAAATAACTTTCAATTACATCAGAGTCCCGGGGGGGGGGGGGGGGGGGGGGGGGGGGGGGGGTTGTTGACGATCTAATTGAAGAAACGAACCACGTCCTTTACTTTCTTCCTCAAAAAGAGCAACATTTGAGAGAGGACAGGGACATTGGTGAGGGAAATATATGATTTCAAAACTGAAATTAAATTCTCCATTTTATTGTAATCTATCTTTAATTTCCGGAGAAAAGTAGATGAGAATAGAAAGTTTATTTTAAATTTGAACAGGTATACAGTTTCCAAAGTCAAGAAGGCGAAATCGAAGGAAATGGAAGCGTGATTTAGGGAGTAAACAGGTGAGCCGATAGAGCTTGGGGTTTAAAAGATGAAGGGCATATTAGGTAGTTTACTTTAAAATTTCTTTAGCGTAAGAAGATGACACGTAGGAAAAAATAGTTTCTTTTATTAAGATAGAGGATATTGTACATGTCAACAAAATTTTTAAGTTTTTGACTGTTATTTTCTCTTTCCATTATACCTTATAATTTTAACTTTTTAATTAGCTCTACCTCCTGTCCTCCTTTTCCTTTTAGACTAAGGGGTGTAGGCTACTCTATATTATTTAACTTGGACTTTATTTCTTCTTCAAAACTATAATTTCATATTGCAATAGTGCTTTCTTAAGGTATTTTGGTATTTCTTAATTTTTTATGTGTCTGAAAGAGAAAGAATTTATACCATTGAATAATATCATGTTCTTGGTTAAACCACTAAAAAAAAATCATATTTTAGCCTTCTTTGAGACAACGGATTTAATTGGACACACTAAAAAGCTTCATGCAAGATGTCCTTTTTCCTTGAAGAAAAACTACAATCACAACGAATATAATGGTTGTAATGGGATTGAAAATATTAGAACTCGATGACATTATGATAATGTCGAAGTGGAGATTGATTTCTTGGATGCATAGGAACTGATAGCCTTTTCTTTGGCGATACAGTTTTCTTGTAGTTGTTGTGTGTGGATTATATGGGTGAGTATGGTACGGTTCGATGCAGTTTCTAACCAAAACCAAACCGAAAACCGTAGTAATCGGTTTTTCAATTTTGAAAACCGAAACCGCACCAAACCGATCGGTTGCGGTTTTTCGGTTTTAACCAAATGCGGTTCAGTTTTTTTTAACCCAAACCGCAACTTATGCTGTAAAGCTCAGTTCAACTCAGACGATTTAGAGAAAAACAATTTGCTTAGCCATTAAACACAGTTAAAAAAGGGAAGTTAAAACTTTTAAACTCTAAATAAGTTATTTCAAGCCGAAACTTGTCACACCTCTTAAGCAAGTGAAACTCTTGTGCTTCTCAAAACTACTCCCACCCTTTCATTTTATATTATTCTAATGTCTTCTTTTTCTTTTTTTTTAGGCTGGTAGCACGTGGGACTAAGAAAACAAAGGAAATAACTTATATATTTTTAATTTTTAGAAATTGAAAAGATAATATAACAATGTGCTATCTTTTTTCAACAACCAATAATAGAAGTTGATAAATT